AACTTGCTCGTAACGGTCAAAGGCTGTGCAACAATTAGATCACCTCTAACGTTTCAATTGAAAGACAAAAAAAGGTACAAGTCTCACACGTTCAAGGTGAACAAAAAGTTCGTCACTACTAATGTGAGTTGAATGAATACCTATTTATATACAATTTACAGAATTGTTTTTGAAATTGTTTTTGGATAACTCGAATAATTAGAGAATGAGCCTTGGTGCAACATGACCCTTAAACAACGCTCGAACGTTAATACAGTTTACCGAGCAATAGTAACACAAAGAAAGTTCCGGTAGTAAACAACTGATGGAAAGAATAACTGGCTTTTGGTATACTAATACGTTCAGCAGATTCTTCTGCATCCTCGCTGTATGTTCGTACCACGGTAAATCATATACACTTTGTGAAAATTTCAAACTCTGCAAATTATAGAAGAGTGATAAGACACGTATATCATTCACCTGTATGCAGGATTTACCATTTCTTTCATGTGATCAGCCGGCCACGCGTACATGTAAATATACATGAGGAGAGACGCAGTAATTCCTGCGAACAGCATTTTCGCTATCAGTGGTGTATTCTGTTCGTAAATTGCATTAATTAGATGGTTGTAAGCAGAATCGTCGCTCAAATACTATACTTACCATGACTATTGCTAAGGCACATATAGCTATGACAAACGTACACTCTGCTATGACGAACAGAACCATGAAACGAAAACAATCAGCCACTTCTTCCGCGTATCTGAAAAAAAAAATGAAATGATCGCGTACACTGATATATACATCTGGTAAGCGATCGCTATTACCTCTTTAAACGCAAGTGCTTCTCGATATACGGGGCCAGCATACGAATATCAGCGGTGCTCTGCAGTTCCACCATTAAACATTGGAATCTCGCTGTGGTGAACCAAATTAGTAGCGCACCAAACAAACACATGCATTCATGGGCGCATATCTGGTGGCAAGTGATGATCTGATGCGCACGTACAATAGCGCTCACTAATGTCCGATTATTAACGTTAAACGGATACTCAGCGAATACTAGATGAACAATTGGTAGGAACAAGGGTCCGATCAAACCAACGAACCCTATGATGTACATAGCTACGATATAACCGCCATAAAGCACGTCGATCCTCGCAAAATACTCGTGAAGAATATCCCTCTCATATTGTTGAGCCCTCTCGATGAAACTCCACAGCTCCTCTATTATACGCTGCAATCTATTCGTAAAGCATCGAAAATTTTCCACGTAAAGTAATTGGAGAAACTTACTTGTAGAGTATCGTACTTGCTGAAACATATAATAGTTTGAACGATACATTGAACCTCGCATATAGCCTGGGTAACACAGTGAGAAATAATTTCTACGTCCGACCGCAAATACACCGTATATAATGTAGGCAGAAGTAACAAGGACATGTTAATAGCTGCACAAATTTGCAATACTCTGTAACCAAAGATCACAATTTTGCTATTGCTCGCACGCAACGGCCAACAAAATGTCAGAGCCACGCTCAGTCGAACAATGTTAATAGCTTTCTCCAGCGTTAAATTTTTTAACATAATTTCTGAGGGTCGTGTCCGTCTTTTACGAACTACTTTACGGATGTGATGAAGCAGCAAAGTACCTGCATTGCTGTGAACTGCAATACCATTACGAATAATTACACACGTTATAAACTATACATAAGATACTCCTTCGAATAATCGTGGTAGTTACTGCGAAATTGTCTCACATGTACTAAGGGTTGAATAAAACATCACGCGGTGTAACAATTAGAACAGTACAAAGGTTGATAATCTCTGCCGCCGCGTTTTAATATGCTATTTTATGCATTATACATAGACACATGTTATTACCTACCAGTGTCAATATTCATGAAGAGCTAAACTACTTTTCATCCCTGGTACAACGATTTAAAGCGAGAGGGAAGTTTAAATTCTTAATCAAAGCGTAAAGGATATCGGTACGAGATTTTCTTCAAGTGGAATCTGCCTTCAGGTCGGTAGTATCATTGTGAGTTAGACTCATCGAAGATAAGGGAGAGAATTGAAAATGGAAAAGTGATCGTACAAGTGTTTGTGTTATTGATAGAAAGTGAACAACGGAAAATCAAAACAACAGAAAGATGTCATTCTACGGTGAAATTTTTCTTGATTAATGTGAAAAACTGGTATGTCCGAGATCAAGCGAAATACGTTATAATAACTTCGTTAGGAAGATATGTACAGAATGATCTTGAAAGCACTTGTTTGCATGTTATTTATTGCACAGCAAGTTAACAAGCTAAAGGATAAGTAT